TCTCGGGGGAAGCGTGTCCCACGGGGCAGGGGGTGTCTTGGGATGTTGCTGTGGGGAACCGAGACAATTTTCTTTTCCTGATCCTCCCGCCTCTCCGTTCGTGTCTCCCTTTCGGCAGGAAGGCGATGCCCCTGACTGCCAACTGACTGAGGAGGAGGTCCAGGCGGCTGACGAAGCGTGGCACAGTGGGCTGTCTGCGCTGCCGAAACCTGGGAAGGTGCAGCACCCTGTGTGAGTGCCTGGGAACATCTCACTGTCTATCCTCTGCGTTTGGGGGGGAGGTTGTGAGGTGGTGTGGTGGTGGCAGCGTGGGGAAGTGTCCGATATCGCGGCACTGACAGAGAATGGGGGGGGGGGGGGGGGGGGGTGGAGGAGGGGTCTCTGCGTCCTCGGGCACACCGAGGAAGGTTAGCGTGCAGGCACAGCAAGCAATCGGGGAAAACCAGTAGGATGCAATGGTTTCTCGCGAGGCGGGGCTGAGTACGGGTCGGAGGGAGGCGAGGCTTCCAGTCAGACAGTGGTGTGGGGGGTGGGGGGGGGAGACCACATCCGGGGAGCTGTGCGCAGCGTCCGGGGAGTGTTGAAGGCAGGATGGGAATCTGCGGGAGACGGTTTGAGGGAGGTTTCCCAGACCGACCCCTGGAATGGGGAGGTTGGTGGGGGAGGGGAGCGTCCAATGATACGGTGAGGGGAAAGGTCGGCACAGACGGGCTGACAGATTCGAGGCTGAGCTTCCTGATTGATTTGAGGAGAGATTCGGGGTTGTTGAGGGTGGGGGTGATGGAGGGCGAGTCAAGACGCCTGTCAGATCGGGCTGAATGGCCGACTTCCATCTCTGTGTAACTATCTTCATCATCTGTCTTGCTCACTCCCCCATCTATCCTCCTCTTCTTTACCCACTCCAAGCCCTGTTCACCAGTCACTCCCACCCCTTAAACCCCCCTCCCTATCCCTGTCTCCGTCACCTCCTCCAGCCCCCTACACTCCCCTCCCTATCTCCGTCACCCCCTCCCGCCCCCTA